TATTTGCTTCAGAAACTGTTTACTACCAGTCTAGAAGTCCCTTTGACTTTTAAAAGTTGTTTTGTCTTCCGTTTTGTCTTTGAAAATTCTGTAGTATGTTCTTTAGTTGTAATATTAGGGTCAGATCTGGAAGTCAGGAGGCCACACACACACACACACACACTAGCAGCTCTGCTCACCGCAAGGGGCATCATTCCAAGGCTGATGCTTCTCGCTTAGAGCTATCTCCAGGGACCACGTGATTTACCGTGTAAATATACTGTTCTTTACTATTCCAATGCTAAGTGTCTTAATTATTAAATAAGCACTAATTAAGATGTACTTCATACATATGCTCCTCATCTAGCAGGAGTCTTCCTCTCATCACCCAACATGTGACACGTGTGAAAGCACAGCCCACGTCCAGGTCTCACCAGGACCTAGCACAATGCTTGGCGCACGGCGCGCCCTGCATAAATATTTACTGAATGAATGAATGAAAGCTGTTTGCTGTCATTCACAATATTCCTTCCCCAACTGATTCTGAACAGAAATCATCAAGATGAGGAGAACAGGAAGATCCGACTAATTACTTCAGATATAAGTTCTAATAACATTTTGTCCTTCTGTGTGGAAACCTTAGATTTGAACATGTTTTGCTCTCCTGAATGGTTTAAAGGACTTGATACTTAATGCAGAAGATTTAAAAAAATGAAGTGATGAATTTATGTTATAAAACTAAGTGCCTGTTTTGCATAGTCACAAATTGATGCTCTTTTCAAAGTTCAAAGGAAAGAGAAGCTGGCATTGGTTTCTATCAAAGTCAGATTCAACTTTTATGGAGTCAGTAATAAATTCACATTAGAATCAAATAAATTTCAGAACTCAGTTTGAGAGAAAAAGGAAAGGCTTTAGTTAAAATCTTTACAATAAAATAATTATGATTATAAATCTTTTTAGTTAAATATGTACACATTACATGGTATTTTAAAAAAGAATGGAAATGAATAAAGTTTTTCAGGCAAATCTAATGCACAAATATACCATCTTTTTTTAGACTATAATGTCAGTTGAACATTCTTAAACAGCTGGGTCAGACAATGGCTCCGCTTTGTGCAAAACATGATAAGCAAAATTAAGAAAAATTCTGCAAAATTCTTTAGTTCCCCAAGGAAATTACTAAAAAAAGAAAAGAGTAAAAGAAAAAGAGGTTGTACAGTCAAGCTTGATTGTATACAGAGGCTAGAATGCCCAGCACTAATGCAACCCCCGTATCTGCTGAACAAGTCCTTGGGTAGCTTTAGTCTGAAGTTAAGAGGTGAGGTCCTAGCAATTGTGCTTTTATGCAGCCACGTGGCCAATAAGGTAGATGTTGTCATAAAGGTGCCCCACAAAATCTTCACTAATGTTTTGAGCAGCACGGCGGGTATTTCGAATAAATTCTCTTTTTGACATTTTGTTCTTCACGTGAGGGCTAGTGAGGTCAATGGAAAGCAGGATCAGAGAGTAACACAGCACATAGACGCCATCTGGAAGGAAGCAGAAACACCGCACATGGAGCATCGTGTTCAAACCAGGAAGACGCTGGACTCATCCTAAACTTAAAAACTTCAGAATTGGCTTTCTTTTCCTCTTGCTTTCAAATGTGGTAATTCCCTTCAACTACCCGCAAGATACATTTGCACCGTTGGTACACCTTCCCATTAAAAAAAAAGTCACGTATTTATTTATGTATACTTTTATAAAAACCTAATGTAACTTGAAAGCATCTTTCATGACAAGAAAAAGCGTTAACCTGGTACTGCAGAATTCACATATTAATCTCAAAAGTAAATCTTTAGGAAAGAGACTGCTAAGCCTGAGCACCATGCAGGAAAAACATTTTCGTCTCTGTACGATTCACAGTGATAGTTGATGTTTCCCGCTAAAACAATGACAACCCTCATGATACTTGCTACCACTATCTGCTGCTCCCGTGGAGTTTATATTGCAGAATCTTGCAATCTTGATAAAGACTGTCCTGCATAAGCATGTTCAACAAATTTCTTGTGGTAGGAAACCGTTTTGGAATCTCGGCTTAATAAGATAAGCACAATGACATTTTTGATATGAAGAGATAAACAAAGCAATAGCACATGAAAAATAATGTAGGTGACAGGCTGTATCCTACACACAAATAATGAAAACCAGTCATACTAGAAACAAACTCTGGCAGAAAAAGTCTAGGTGTTACCTATGTAGTATGTATATTATTAAAAAGCTTCAAATTTTTAAAAAAATTTTAACTCAACTGTTTAATTAGACTAATAAAATATCCAATGCTTAACCATGAATTTTAAAGAATTTATATAGCTAAGTCTAACTCACAGTATATTTACCACACATACATGACAGCTGTGACAAACTAACGCAGTCACTGCTACAAGCAGTAAAATAAGTATCTGTAATTACTGGAAGCATTTTTCCCCATTGTGAGAAAAAAGTCTCATCTACGGCTGTTTTCACCTGGAGATGGGAATGGGCCAAGGAAGGAATTCACTATATGCATTCTTACCAGGACTAAGGCCAAGTTCTCTCATTAAATCAGGGTTACAAGCACAGAATCTATGTGAGAACTTTGTTATAAGTGTTTCAAGATACTCCCCACGCTCTTCAGGGGCATGGATGTGACGAAAAAATTCTCTCAGTGCATTGGGTAAGAACTGATTTCTAAAATTATGCAGTGTTACAAGGTCATCCAAGACATCTCTCCTAGTAGAAAAAGAAAAGGGTACAGCTTTAGTTAACGTTGCTCTATTAAAAAAATGATAATAGGAAAAGTCATAAATTATTTATTTTTTGGATGAAAATACTTTATTGTTGATTACCAGATCAGCCAATCCTATAAAGCATGTCTTATAATTTTTTTACATTTAAGTATGAATATTTTTGAAATTTAAAACTTTTAAGCTTAAAATCAAAACAAGTTTTAGAAACTAGTGATGATAATTATAGAATTAAGAAAAAAATGACTTTTCCAGTCTTAAAAACAGCAACTTATTTTCAAGTAACTTCTTGGCTAAATCCAAATGAACAACAGAATTCTTTATTTTAAGGAGAATCTTCACCTTCCGTACCAATCTACATCACCAGAGGTCACAACTGTTTATTTAGGCTTTCTTTAAAGTGTCCACATATACCATACATTGTTCTAGAATCTGCTTTTGCTTGTTTCACATAATATTGTGAACAGCTTTCTGTGTCTTTACACATAGGTCTAACTCATCCTTTGCAATGGCTGCAGTGCACAGTATCCCACCTTATGGATAGAACAATTCTAATCACATACATTTAGGCTATTTGCAATTATATAAATATTTGTGTACATATGTGTGTATACGTAATTTTTTTTAATCAAGAGCATTCTAACAGTCACATTTTGTTATAATATGCTCCAATCCTTACTGAACTCAACCATGATTATATGAGCATAATCTTAATTTCTCCCCGTTGCTTATGTCAGGGACAGGCAAACTACAGCTAGTTGGCCAAATACTATGGCCCACTGCTTGCCTTTATAAAGAAAGTTTTACTAGAACACAGCTACACTCGTTTTATTTACTTATTGTGTATGTTTGCTTCCATGTCGCATTGGCAGGCTTATAAGTAGATCCGAGATGCAACAGAGATCATATGTCCTTCAAAGCATCAAATATTTACAGAAAGATGTGCTTCTTTACAGGAAAATGGCTGATCCCTCGGAAGTCAGCATTCAAAGACAAAAAGAGTGAATGACACCATCTTTATGTAAGAAATTTCTTTCAATGATCAATGAGCTGAACTGGAAACTCCTCAAAGACAGGAGTTTCTCTCTAGCAAAATTATCTCTCTGGACTATAATGAATATAAACAGTTGTTGAAAAATCCTGAGAATTTTTTTTAAAAAGAGAGAATTACAATGGAAAGGGCAACACATTTTTGAGCTGTTATTTATAGTGTGAGATCTGAAATTTTTTAAATGGTAGTTCAGCAATGTCACATCAAAATATTTCCCCAATATTTGCATCTCCATTGATACCCAGAATTAACGAGTACAGATGAATGACTAGCAAGTCAGAACAGCATACGAAGCATCGTCTCTGTAAACCATCCTATTAAGTCACACTTTCAGACTCTTCAAACTTGTACACAAAGCTTTTGTGTAGTTTTCATGCAAATAAGCACATCTTATATCTGTAAGGTTGCTCTTTATGACAATTTGTCTATTTGATTTTTATATGGACAATTTCAAAATTCAGAGCTTTTAATTACCCTAGCACTTAGATTGTATGGCTAGTTACTAAGAAAAAAGGCTGCAACTTCCTCAAAAATATTTGATTTTGGTTCATTATCACAAAGATGTGGGGCTTTCATTCTGTGTTCGCCTGGGCCTTTTTGTTCGTTTGTTTTAACCTGTACAATGGTAACTTCCTCATCAACAAGTTAAAGCTCACAAGATAATATGCAAGATACAGGACTCCTTTCCCTGTTTCTACTCAATTTTATTAACTAGCTGACTGCCATGTGGTATAGTTTTTAAAGTAAAACTTAACTCATTAAAAGCACTACTTAACTCATTTCTGATGAAAAATTAAATATTTTTACTTTTACCTTTCATCAAGATAGATTCTCAGTTTTTTCCAGTTTAGTGTCCTTGTACAGAAGATGAACTTTGCTATCTCCTTTGGTGAATCGTCTAGGATGCCCTTGGACATAAGGTAGTTCACCCCCTAAGGCAGAGAGACAAGTCTACGTGAATACGATCAGCCTTTACCTACACATTTAACAACGAGGCGACAGCACAACAACAGCTACAGGCTTTTTCCAGCATTAATAGGCTTTTACAGCTTTAACATGCAAAGTACAAGCTAGAACTTGAACCGAAACTATTACTTGTGGTTGATAATTTACATGCAATGAAAAGTAGGAAATTCAAAGTTAAGACTCCTAAAGAAATCCAAGTTCAATGTCCTGGCTCACGTCAGCTAAAACTACCTCTCCAGAAATCTGACCC